ATTTCTGATATACTTCGAAATTTCACGTCCATTTTACTTGTAACTTTTACCAACTTAATCATAGTTTCGTTAATTATTGCAGAGTATTAGTTTCAATTGTAGTTTCCAGAAAACTAACTCGAAATTTTGTCTTTTCATTTTTCCAAACATAAGGGTTACAATGAATGTAATGAAAAATTACTTGTGCTTACCTGTACTGATTATTATTGCAGATAGCAACAACAGGAAATGGTATTTGATTCGGATAAGCTGCTTCGATATTTGTTGCTACAGGTGTAGTTAAGTACATATTGATTTGTTTAAAACTTTGGAAACATGCTAATAATACGAATATTATGATTATTGCTGCCCAAAAATATCTGGAAATTAATTTGTATATAGAGGTAATCAGTAATCGAATAGTCCTGAGATCTGTACCTATCTCCTTCTAGTATCCAGCTGTTCTCCCACGTATGGGTGCTTGTGACAAGAGCCATCTTCGCCCTTCGTTCCCTCATATTCAAGAGGTGAGAATGAATTACAATTGAAGGAGACAAACTTTGAAAAAGGATCATCTGTCTGTAAGTGTTTAACTCCATCCATATTTGCATTTTCAATGATTGTGAGAAGTATGGGTTCATCGCGAACGTCTTCTGCGGAAATAACTGATAGAATGGTTGCCGATCTTCGGAGAGGCTCGAAATTTTCACTCACCATTGAATTTCTTCGCATTCTTAAAAAAGCTAAAATTACATCGTAATCATGTCTCAACTTTTGATAAACTGCTAACTGATCGTCATGTCCGTCAAGATCATTCAGTATGTTCAGTACTTTGTTGTTTTCAAGAGAATATAAGTGATGACAATAATTACAGCCAGTTTAAGTCCATTTTGGGAAATTAATTCCTTAAACGCTAAGTAATTTCTTAAAATTGACTAAAATTAAAATTAATTAAAATTAATTGGAACAGTTGAACTAATCAAAATTAAATTGAACTCAATTTCTTAAAATAGGAATTGATTTCTTAATCATCAATAATCACCAATTAATTCCTAGAATTCATTTGAAATATCTCACAGCTCATAAAACAATAAATATAATTAGCGAACAAATAACTTTTCGAATGTTTTACAACTTTTGAAGTTCCAAAATTCATGGATAATTTAATATCCTAAACAGACCTGGACTGATACTCATGACGATCCATGAACAAGTTTAAATGGCTTGCAATATGATCAGCTGTTCGAGGCATTGTTTTTCGTCTATGAGGTTGACAAAAAAAGAAAGGTAATCGGAAAAAAGTGGAGGTATATTTGTAGAATAATCCAAAATAATTGTTACTACAACCACATCTTTGACATGTTTCTTAGGTTGACTCAATCATCTGTAATTTACACAATTTTTATCTTAATTTCAATGTTAGAAATAACTTGAAATTTGCCATAACGCTCGAAAAAGTTTGCATATTTTTAGTTCGAATTCTTGGTTGACACGATGAGAAAAAGTCCTTTATGCTACAATAAATCGATATGAAATTAAATTTAAAAAAAGAAACTAACACGAAATAGAATAAATTGAAAATTAGAAAGTTCATTAGTTTTGACAAATGAATAACTACATGTGCTAAGCAGCACTAATTGAGACACAAAAGCTGTATTTTCATTTAAAGAGTTTGTTGCACTGAACAATTTTGAAGAAGAAAAGGAAGAGAAAAGAAAGAATTGAAAAATTCACTGAAGATTTGCTTGTAAAACCCAGGACTGGTTATTTATGATGAAAGCGAAGTCTGTTGCTCAGCTTTTTTCAAAACCCATTAACAAAGCTTACTTCTGACACATCTGAACTCGATGACCGGGCCATATACCACGCCACTTTCATTTTCGCATCCCGCTATTCGATCAATTGACACCTTTACAGCAAATAATGATAATGAACAGGTGAGCAGTTATATCCTCCACTACTTTATCGGATATACTTACTTTTCATTGTTCTGTCTTGTTGATTGTTTTATCTGTAATTTTAAACATCAAAATATTTCTCTCTGTACTGGATCAGTTTATCAAACAGCAGTCAAAATTGTTAATCAAATGGTAAGTACAAAGTTCCTCTTTCCAAATGAATACTTTTCAATTTATTATTTTAAATAATAACTGACAATAATAACTACAATTTTATTTCATTAGAGATAAACGATGGAGGAGATTCATAAGCTTACCTTTTTTCGGCAACTGATAAAGATATATTTATTAGATTTATCTTTAATCAATGAAATTTTAGAAGACATAATGCCACAGTACATTGATTTCTCATCAGAAAAAAGACGTTGTTTGTTTGTTTGTTTGTTTTTTCATTTTTCTTCTGAAAGTTTGCTTGCTAATTCTTTTATTCATCCCAAACAAAACCTTTGGTCTATCATTTTAAATTAAAGATTTCCTCGTTCAGTTGTATGAGGAAGTGGAAGCAAATATGTTTCGAACTAAAAAGTTTTAAATTGAAGACTATCGGATTTCCATTTTGAAGTCGCCATTGTAATAAATATTTTGACAGGAACACTCTTAGAATCAGACGGTGGCGATGACTTATTTTTGTCATCTGTACTTAACAACTGCTCAATTTTGCTAATTGATTTTTAGCTACTCGGACTTGTCTTCCTATAATTATCAGCCTAAATAACACACAAATAATTTCTTTTACACATTTTAATAAATTGTTGTTCAATGTGAGCTAGCATTCCCTTGATAACTAAGATATTTCGGGCAGCTACCGGAAGAGCATTATTGTTCGCTAGTTTTTAACTTCTAAGAAGTTTACCACTGATTGGAAGGAATAGAAGTATTTAATAGTATATACTGTGAATCTTTTACATGAAGTTGTATTCAACGAAGAGTGTTATCTTGATGATATCGATTCAATCAGATCAGCAACTTTTCACTCCGTGGTTTAGCTTCATTTGTTACACAAACATCTATTACAATGCATTTAATTTTTTTTATAAGCATAAAATACAAAAGATATGCTTTAAATCCGCCATATTCCAAGAGCAAAACTACTGTAACTAATCACTTACTTACTCATTTGAGGTTAAAAATTCTAATTTTAAGGAAGTAGGAGAACCCAATCACGGTAGTGAAAAAATAGCATCCTAAGCGCAACAAG